GTCAAGGTTTAACTCTCATCGCCAGAAATCGAGGACATTTTGCTCTCCCGCATTCATTGGTCAGCGGATTGCAGTCGGATGAAAACAAAGATGGCGGTCAGGACAAGTTCCATATAAAATATTGAACGATTTAAGTTCTGTGGACCTTCTTTATGGAGAAAAAAGCAAAAGAAAAACAACTTTGAACAGATCTCTTGGTATTTTTAAGGCAGAGTGACTTATAGCAATTTGCTGTCTGACGTAATGTAAGGGAAATTCTGTACGCAAACTAGCTTTTTTTGTAATCGACTAAGATGTCAGACATTTTGGAAATTGTAGCTTAAACCACTTGCATTAAATAATGGGAAGACTGGATCTAGGCAAATCGTACTCGAAATGGGCTTTTTCTCCCAGTTGAAAACACAGTTCAAGGAACGCACTATACAGATCTCTCTGATCTGCTTCTTAATTTTCGCGCGAGAAAATATTTATTCAAGGCTCTACTTTAGTATGAGGGGGTCTGGATTGAGTTTATTTCCCGTCAAACATTGCTGAATTTGACAAACAAATGTGGCGACAGTTTGAAGGTTTCGCGGAGGGTTTTTCTATTAACGCTTTCCCTTCTGGTGAGTTCTCAAGGATGGGCTCAGATCACAGACTCCACGGAGCAAAAATAGCAATTTTCAAGCTCTTTTGGAAGTATCTCATTGTCAAGAAATGTCTCTTTTTATGGACGATTTGCTTACTTCGAACTTCCCTTTATTTAATGCGAGTCGGAGCTAGTTGACTTCTTGGAGGATTGCTCCTCAAATCGACGATCCTTTGCTATGGATTACGCTATATTTGAAACAGACTAGAGGTAATGGCTAGCCTCTAGTATCGAGCATTGCTGAGTTTGCTGGAATTAAGTAGACAAACAGCTTTTGAATTATTTTTATGTTAGAAGTACAGCTTAATCTCTACTGAACATGTTTCGAGTCGGAGCTAGGGAATAATCTGACTAGTATTTGTTGTATTTTGGATTTTTGTGGAAATCCCATACATTTCCTTACACGATTTCTCCACCATTAACTTTTCAATACGCACGCGCGTCCGGCATTTTGACCCAAATTTTGGCAATGATTGGCTCTGTTTTCTTGGATCATATTCCGCAAGTTCATTTCCTAAACAGCGACTTGTCAAAACCTGACACCGTTTATCTAGGCATTGTTTAATTGCAGTCTACTTTTGAGAATTAAACCATCATAACTGCTAGAAGTGATCACGATTTTCTCTTCACTCGGATAAATGGTGCCTTGACTAGCAATTACTGATTATTGACCAGTAATATTTACATAGATCTAAAATCGAATTTGTGTCTACGATTTAGTTTGTCCAATATAGATTAGGGTTTAACTTTGAAATCGTTGACTGATGGGTACTGTTTTGGTGTCTATTGGCGGAGCCTTTAAAAATAGAATATTTGATATGAAAAGAGGAACCATTCCTCATAAAAGCTTCACACAGAGATCTTTACAACCGTTTGCGTTGATTTTTGTTTGTATGCTTGATTTTACACTTATTTTCTTTCAGAGATTTAGTAGACAAAATTGTTTACAAACCAAATGCCTTATCAATCCAAATAAACATATAACTACAGAAAAATCTCTGTTCAGCAGCTAGTTTTTGTTTTAAAGAAAGTATAATTTACCTACCACATACTTTACAGCTTAAAGCACAGGTAGACAACATGTATTCCGGGTTCGTCTCACAATAAGCCCCGGATGCCCAACCTGGACAACTGCTTGATTCATCTTTCCATCCTAAAATTTTCAGTTGATAAAATACATGTTTTTACACGCAAAGTTGTTGAAGTGGTAGCAGAAGATCTTTCGATATTTTTAACATCAGAAATGGCCAGCGAGGCTTCAAAACTAGGAATTTCTTCTTGTTATGGTGGCTATATGTGGTAAAGCTGATGGTGTAAAAAGCTGTTAAGGCTGTTACCTGTAAGAGGGTAACTACGACTGCGAGGGAGGCTGCAAAATACCGTCTTATTGATTAAAAATCATTATTGGATTGGTTTGGTATTTTTCTCAGTCAACTCCTTAACTTGACTTCACTTTGATCACGTGATTGCCCATGATGATCGAACACCTTTGATTGGTTTAAGATACATGGAAATAAAAAATTAGGCAAGTCGTTTTTTCAACCAGATGTGTGCAAATGAGATCAAACATTGTTTCACGAGTTCACAATACTACATAATACTGTAGGTATTAAGCGAGAAAGGTGAAAGATATTTAGCTTCAGATGGAGATGATGGTACTTTAGGGATTTAGTAAAGGGAAACAAAGCAAAATAAATGTAAACGTATTTGTACTTACCACAGACTCCACAGCTTTTCTTACAGTTATTCATCATCCATGGATTGTTGTCACAGCTGCCTTTGATGGCCCATCTAGGGCAGTTGATAACGTCAGAGTCCAGACAGCTAATCGCTGGTAGAATAAATAACAGCTATATTAGAATGTACAAAACTGTCATTGTTACTGTTATTGTTCCTTGAATTTGACATGTTTAAATGTACACGCTTTATGAAATATATAAAATACATACGACACGAGTTACAGCTTCTTTTGCAGAATTCCTTCATCCATTGTTTGTTGTTCTGACAGTATCCTGCAGCGGCCCATTTAGGGCAGCCACTATAATAGGTATCCTGACAACCTGGCAAAAAAGCACAAAAAGCAATATGTACACAGCGCCAAAATTGTACAAGATAACATCAACTACGTCATTGTTACGAATATTTGCGGCTCTTAAATTTTCAAGTATGTCCCCGCTTTTACAAGCAACCTGCAGCACGTTACAATATTTTATTAAGTGCCTCGTATAGGCTCACTCGGGTTTCTATTGAGAAAAGATAAATCAAAAGGAAGCAATGAGGTGAGTTTCATTTGATTTTCTTCTGCGCTCTGTTTCTAAACATGTTTACCAACCGCAATGTCCAGGGTCGATGAACACATCATCGATGGCAGTATCAGAGTAGCCAGTTCCACCAATACGAGCTTCAATTGTCAGCTGAAGTGAAAACAAGAGTTTATTGGCTATGATCTTATTGCCAAATCATGGGGTCACTTTTGTTATTCATTGAAATTTTTGGCTGACAGTTGATGAGATCGAATGACTATGAGTTGATACAATTTTAGGAACCTTGTCATTGGTGCATTTCCAGGGGCGTAGCCAGGATTTTTCAAAGGAGGGGAGGGGGTCACAGAGGCTACTCACCAGATTGTTATGTCGACCTCCTCGCCGTGCATGTTTTACTTGATGTTACAGTTTTGGAATGAGCAGTGTGAGTATAGTGGGCAGGCCAAGATATTGTCATGGCGCTTTCACCACCTGAATATTGTAGGTTGTTTGCTCAAAAGAAGGCTTACCAAGGGGGGGTCACGGGCACCCCAGGACCCCCCCTGGCTACGCCCTTGATTTCAATGTACCTCCTTTGTAAAACATCATATTTTGTAAGAAAGTCCCTCAAAATGGCAATATTCACGACAAAGTGTAAGAGTGTTGTCGAGACCACGAGGTCTTTTTAATTTAAAGTACAAAATTCCTACTATGTCAGGAGTAGCTTTCCGTTTTAACAGGAAGCTTTTGATGTCTTGGTTCCAGGAGCTATTTGCACTATAATAGGATCAGTCGATCCCATGTCTCACAGAATTGTCACGTTATCGGATCATTCCTGGAAGTAGAGAACAGATTCCTTTGTACACGATAAAACTTACCTTGTACCTCACATCTGTGTCTATGTCTTTTGTCACACCCTTCCAGCCCATCCCTTTATTGCCTTTTTCATAAAACAGGAGATACGACTGCTTGCCTTCTGGTTCAATACGCACCATCAGCTCACCCATTGTTCTCCCATACATGTTATAAAAGAATTTCAGACATTGGCCGCCAGGCACTGGGTTCAGCCAAGGACTAGTCAGCTTAGCCTTGTCATTTGATTGAGCAGGGGCAGATGATTCGACATAAAGGTACACACCCTTGAATGTTCCTTTGAGTGAAAACAGAAAGATTGTTTGATATATATTTGATGTACAAACTCGTAAAAGCACTTTGCATAACGCGTTTTTGGTTTGGCCTAATACGTGGTTATAAACATTGGGTTGTTAATTCCAAAGCTTACTGTTGCAAGTTCAATTCCCAATAATTACAGTCAGCCAAATGGAGGGGGGCATGGGGGTTTACGGTATTGCGGTATTGGGCTTTTTTTCATGCGGTATTTCGGTAATTTAAATTTTAACGTGCGGTATTGCGGTATCGTCTAGCCTTGCGGTTGCGGTATTTCATGACGGTATTCGGTGAAATATGATTGCTTACGGTATTGCGGTAGAGTTTTTTGCCCTTTCCTTTCGGTACAATACGCAAAAAAACAAAAAAAACAAATAAGACATAAAGGTCAATAAAAGTTAATATTTAGAAGTCTTTAGACATAATGGTAAATTATTACACCATTTGTGGGTCATTTTGTGACAGTTAACAATGAGATTGCTGTTGCATCCTGTGACAATGGTACTCTACCAGAATTCCTGTACCAGAGAGAGTGTGTCGCATTAGACAACCCGGTCACCATCACTTCTGCGCAACATGCAGGTGCCAAGGCCACCGAAACAGTGGATGCCCCAACAGCAGAAAATGATACAGCAGATGAGGAATTGGTGGATGAGTTCGATAGTAGCAGTGATGAGGAAATTGAGGAAACTACTTATGAAAGTGCGCCAGTACCTCAAGGAACTCTTCAAGGGGAAATCGGAAGCGCAGCAAACTTCCTCCTTGGTGCACGATCTCGATTTGCAGAGTTATTCGATTTAATAATCGTTCATTGTACTGAAAGACGGTTGCATTTGTCCGATGCTGCTACGGATAGACTGGCCTATACTTGACCGGAAATTGGGCGATATGCGTGATGACCTGTTTTGACTACCACCTCCACTACTACCAGAATCCTTTACGATTTTCCTGTTTTTTGCTAGTTAGAGCGTTAAATTTGTTATATAACGCTTTGGAATTAACAAATTTAATATGAAAGGGAAAAATAAATGTATTCAAGTAGTAGTAGTAGTTGTAGACGGTTCACAGTCCCCTATTTTTCCGTAAGACCGTCGAGATCGAGCGCTTTGCGTTACTGGCGGCCATCTTGGTTTCATATGTACCGAGGGAGTAGGTGTCGGAGATTTTAGGAGGTAAGGCAAAGTCTTCCATCTCGACGGTCTCACGGAAAAATAGGGAATTGTGAACAGTCTAAACCGGTTGTAGTAATAATGACGCCATCATGCAAATGCCCTTTAGAAAACCGTTTTAAGGTAAGAGAATTGTTATTCACTATTAGAACTGTATTAGGGATCACACCTCTCTTCATGTTTTCCGTTTTGTATGCTCCTACCAAAAGGTTGACCGAATGAAGTTCAATTTTGAGAGAAAATTTGCGAACAACCAAAATATTAAAAAAAAACATCTTTGTGCATAAATGCCGGAGACGATTAAACGCGCTAGATGGAAGCAACTATAAGTATGCGAAACCGATTATAAATGTAATTAAAATATGCGGTATCGGTATTAAGTCGATTTGCGACGCAGTATTTCGGTATTTGCCATTTTTTTCGCACGTTATTGCGGTATTGGGTACCCCTCAATGTCCCCTCCAAATGGATATCTCTTCGTCTTCTTTAATTGATTGTAGAAAATATGAAATGATTTCACTAAGTAAGGTTCGCCTTCATTGCTTTTATCGAGCCTGCGTTAGGCCTCAGGTCAACGGAGAAGAGCAAACATCGCATGAATGGTGACCTATCCATAGAGACAACCGCTTCAAGCCCGCCGGCTCTTTTGTTCGTCTTCACTTGCAAACCTACTTCACTTACTAAGAACTAGCTTATATTTACCAAGAGTGTGATCAGAGCTCGGCCCAGTGTTCAATGTCTTAGTGTAGCTACTATGTCTCTGCCAGTTTAGTTTATCATCATATACATTTGTCCACATTCCCATATTTGATTCGAAGTCAGTATCATCAATCTCTGTGTAACAGAGGCAACAAAAATTGTCAGTAATACTGTTAGCATTCGTAATGGCTCGATGGAAATTACATTGCATTGCGACCTGTGACCTCTGTACTTAAAGAATCGTTAAAAATATCCTTCTTATTTGACAAGGTCGAGTAAAAAGTATTGAATAATTAGTGTATAATAATCAGACTATCGATGATCCGATAAGTTCATGGCCGCACGTAGATATGAATTTTATATATTCGAATGCTGATCAGTAATATCTCTCTCGAAGGAGAAGAAATGTTTCCCCATGTGGACATACAATCTTTTAACTTTTATACACCTATAGATGGAACAATGTCTGTCTATGATAGGCACAAACACCGCGTCGATAAAGGTGCGACTACATATTAATCCTCTATCCTTAGGTATTATACAAACTTTATCGTCTTTACCAAAGGTGCATCTCCTCACGACGCACCCCTCTGCCTCATTTGACAATCCTGGGCAGTTCAGACCTCCTTGCACAGGAGCTGGATTGTCACACTTTCGGTATCTCTTTCTGTAGCCATCACCACAGGTCACGCTGCAACTCGACCAGTCTGACCATCTACCCCAATGACCATCAATAGCTATTTGAGACACAGAGGAAGTTTTACAGACATAATTGCTTTGTTGTAATGGTTGAAACGCTGGTCATCTTAACAGAACAGGCTTTAGAACGCATGGCTCGTTTCGGTTGCCATCCTGTTTTTGATCATACCAAGGTTTAGGTAGGAGGCGTCTGTACTAAAGCCGAGTGGTTCATTCAGCAGGAGATTACCCCGATTTCTATGGTGTGAAGCAACTAGGAGTATTACCGCTCCCCCGAGGATAGGATGTCAGTCCTTTGCAAGATTACACCCAGCAATTCACCAGGCGTCCCTGACAATTCACCAGTACCCATTTATAGTTCTGAGTGGAGAGGGCACTGTAAAAGTAAACGTTTTTTCCTGCGTCTTTCACCCAGAAAAAGGGTTACTAATAACGAATTGAGCTGGTACTATGCCCTTAAATTTAACTGTCAGATACATCTGTTTTTTAAAACAACAGCAAAATGAGCTATTAAGTTGGCAAAATTGACAGAAATTAGATAGCCATAGATTCTGCACATTCATACCATAACATTCTCTATCTGAGCATTTGATGGTCTGCTTTTCGATGCCATAGACATTAGGGGACCCTTGACAGGATTGAGGGTTTCCATGCTTATAGCAATATCGCTCCCTGCTCTTATAGCAGTTCCCATCACAAGGTGTATAGCTTGACCAGGAAGACCAGCCTGGGAGAGTTGCTGAAATTAATCACGAAGTACAATTATTGATCAGGACAAAACCCAAGTACCTGCGTAATCTCAATATGGGCTGTTTACTACATCTTAAAGGGTAGGAATGGAGAACTGCGTTCAAAGGAATTAGTAAGAGTAACTTGCCTTTTTTGTCACCGCCGTAACGAAAATTTGATAGAATTCTTCTTAATTTTTGCTACTTATCTGGAATTTCCATCAGAAAGGTCAACTTAAAATATAAACATGCATGAATTATTTGTGCAAAAGCTGCACACCCTTCTTAAAAAAAAGCGAAACAAAACAAAACAAAAAAAAAACAAAAACAAAAATTTACCCGGATTTATAGCTCTGAGAATGGGCTCTTTGTTAAAACATTTTCAAACTATAGCCTGAGAAATGGGATGTAAA